TCAGGAAACCATCTGGATCCATTAGTCTCCAAGGGTGGACCATCTTAATAGATCCTCCACCTTTGCAGAGGGGAGAAGTAGCTAATAGACTAAACTTGACCAAGAAGTGGTCTGACCATGACAATGGGGTCATAACCAGCTATCCACATCCAAACCACCATCTTCCAGTCCCGTTGAGAAAACCAGGTTCAAGGTATGGCCCTTCTCATGTGTTGGGCCGATGACACATTGAGATAGCCCCATGGTTGTCATGGCAGCCATGAAGTCCTGAGCTGCCCCAGTCAAGGCAGCCTCTGCATGGATGTTGAAGTCCCCCAGCACCAACAGCATGGGAATCCTCAACATCAGATCCGAGACTACCTCCGTCAACTCAGGCAGGGAGACTGTTGGTATGCAACACGGTGGGCGGCACATCAACAGAATCCCCAATCTGTCTTGTAAGCCTGACACACAATATATGCCCTCAAGACCTCCTCTCAAAGGGATAGGAAGCCTGGTCAAGGAGATAGAACTCCTATAGACTATAGCAACTTCTCCTCCTCAACCCTCTGAATGCCAGGTCAGTACAAAATAAGACTGCCCTCATCCATGATGTAATTCTGGATGAGGGTGCAAATAGTATTTGGATATTATTTTCTAATATTTGAATGCCAATTCCTGCTTGCAAACACATCAAATGAACATCTATGTATTTAAAATACTTTTACCCCATCTTTCTCCTTAAAAGGACCGAAGGTGACTTATATCATTAAAATACAGTATTAAAGCTAACAACAGTGAGTATACAAATACTTAAAAGGATGAAACAAATACTGTACAAAAAACAATCGATTAAAAACAAAACCCTTAGGCAGTCAGTCACTCAGGGAAAGCTTGCCTGAAACTCAGGGAAAACTTGCCTGAAAGCTTGCCTGAAAGTCTTCGCCTGCTTGCAGAAGAATAGCAAAGATGGGGCCAGCCTAGCCTCCTGTGGGAGGGAGTTCCAAAGTCTGGGAACAGCAACAGAGAAGGCCCTCTCTCCCTTGTACCCATCAAATGCACCTGTGAAGGAGGCAGGAAGGAGAGAAAGATCTCTCCTGATGAACTTAACACTTGAGCAGGCTCATAAAGGGAGATGTGGTTTTGAGATAGCTTGGGCCCATGCCATTTAGGACTTTATAGGTTGGAATCAACACCTTGAATTCAACCCAGAAACTGCCATGTAAGGTCTACCATTGTCCTTATTATATGTGTTCTATGTTCTTCATTTCTTCTCTTAAGTCATATTTAGTCATGTTCCTAATTTTTTCTTTTAAGTCATCTTTGGCTGACTAGAGTTGATTAACTTTGACATGTGTGCCCAGAAGTGACTTTTATGATAGTTAAGAACTGTGAAAGATTGTTTATGAATGAAACTGAAAGCTGATTATCTGTGTTGCTCCTATTTGGAGACTGTTTTCTATAAAATGTGTGCATAAAGGACAGAGTCAGTAAGTTAGAACTGTGGGCTAGACTCTAGCCGCTAGAGCAGGGGAAAGGAAAGGAGAATGAGTGCAGTCGGTTCAATGATTGGGAATAAGGATGTGATCTTGTTAGTATTTGTGTAAAAGCAAGTATCTGTCTGTCTGTCTTTCTGTCTGTCTCAGGAAGTGCTTAAAATATAAAGAAGAAAAGTAAAGAGTTATGATGGCAGGCTGTAAAACCGGGCAACTTGAAACATTGTTCATGCTATTACTTTTTCACTGAATCGTTTTATACCTTTGTTTGTGTTTTCAAACAAAACTTTTTTTTAGCGTATACACCCTCATTATTTTAGCACAAGAAATCATGCCTGCGTATACTGCTGGTGTTATGAGAAACGGTTTATGCAGTGTCACCAGAGAAAACAAAGCTGTATTTCATCAAAACCATTTTAAAAGGACAGTGTGAAATAGGCGCTTAGTTTTGGCAGAGATATAGCAGCAATGTAAAATGACACACAGGCTGTTTGCCTTGTTAAGTGATAAGTATAATCCAAGAGGAGTCCCTGTTCAGACGTTTATATGGCAACCCAAGCTTTGTGGAAGTACTGTACTTGGCAGTGGTTGCCATTTGGACAGCAGTAAACACACACAGTGAAGGTGTGTGAGCGCCACATGAACATTATACGTATCTGAAATAATTGCTCATATGTGCGTTTAGTGTGGGAGAGAAGCAAGTTACATAAACTAT